ATATCAAACAGGAGTTGGGAAAAGATCACAGGGGGTGTGTTTTGCCAACATTGGTACAATAACGAAATTGGAACGCCCTAACCTAATGAAAGAAGCTGGAAATATGTATCTACAAGAAAACATGATCAAACTGATGTGACATCGTCTAATCAGTGTTTAGAAAAAAAAAACTCTCGACAAACACAAAACCAGGGCATGCGCAAGTCTGCATGACTATTTTAAAAACTTTTTTATGTAGTCTACTTATTCAATGTCATTTTAGTTTAAAATGTATGATACATTGCTGTACAGTTACTATTATCATAGTATGTTTTCGTTGAACTCAGAATGTCATTATGAATGAACCAAAGATGCTTTCTCCCGTTTACTCTGTCTCTCTCCCTATCCCCCCTCCCCCCCCTTCTCTCTCTCTCTCTCTATCTCTCTCTCTCTTTCTCTCTCTCTCTCTCTCTCAATGTTTCTGATTTTATCTCTTGTCTTCTCTCTTTCCATCTCTCTTTCTCCCCATGCCATTTCTCTCTGATTCGCTCACCCATTCTCTCTCTGTTTCTCTCTCTGTTTCTCTCTCTCTCTCTCTCTCTCTCTCTCTCTCTCTCTCTCCCCTCCCTATCTCCACCCCCCCTCAGTCTCTTCCCCTCTCTCTCCCTATTCGTTATCAATCTTTCTCTTTTTTTCACTCCCTTCACCCTTTCCCGATCATTATTTTCCGATTCGAGAAAACCACCCGACCTCCTCACACCCTTTCCAACCTCTACCACCTCCCACCTTCATCCCACTCCCACCCTCCACATTCGTGTGCAAACTGAGTTTTAATCGCTTCCTTAGAATTACACAGTTTTCTACCTTACATGTTCGGCTTATTTGAGTTACTAGGACAATGAGGTCAGAAACCAAATGCTCTATCAAAATCTTAAGATTAATCGAAGTCTTTATTAAGATATTATTCAAAAAATTGCATTCGAAAAAGCTTGATGTGTTGTGAAACTCATTTTTTTAACGTCGGGTTTCTCAAAATTGAGTACTGACTGAGCAGACAAACCTTAGTAATTTTAGGGTAAAAGTAAAGATGTTCTTCCATTCGATCCGGACATTGGGGATTGCCTTGTTAGTGAGACAACTTCCCGGGCCTTCGGCATATTGTGGTTAGGTGGCAAGGTCCTTTCCACGCCAACTTTACTTCCCCAACTCAAAGTCAGATACCCATTACTGCTGGGTGGGCAGGACGGGCGAAAAATATTCGTGTCAAAACCGAGGCTCAAACCCGAACTTTCCACTTCGGAGACGAGTGCACTAACCGCTCCGTCACCGCACCCTCAATCTACTTAATGTCTAATTATCTAGCTCTGAGCATATAACATCAAATATTATGGCTGGAGAGCAAGAGGAAGACCAACACGACGCTGGAGTGAATCTGCCGCAAACACCCTCAGAGCTCACGGGATGTTCCTCCTACAGGGCACTCGCCTTGCTTCAGACAGACGTCTGTATCTCCACGCGATACCCACCGGTACAAGTACAAGCGGAAGAAAAAGGTAAAGTAAGTGTCTATGGTGTGGAAATGGATTTGGTTTCCTTCCTTACCCTGCCTCTATCTCCACTGAGTGGTGCAGCACCACCCGGAGCGACATGATCAGTGACGTTTTCTGTATGGTCATCAGCGTCACCATCAGGGTCAGCACCACACAGGCCACCACGCTCTGGGAATAAGAACATGACCAGCAATGAGCCAAAAGTACCTTCGCTAATTTTTGAAGGCAAATTCAGAAACTAGCAAAATCCTTGTTCGAAAAGTCCTTGTCCTCTCCTCTTTTCCCCGAAAAAGGCAGCCAAAAAGTTTACGCAAATCAAAAACAAAATAAACGCACGCACACACTCACATTCACACACACACACACACATACACACACACACACACACACACACACACACACACATGCAAACACTCTTGCGCGTACACACAAACTCAAAGGAAATCTCAAACATAGAATATTAATGCCTTACGATTGAGACAAGAGAAAAAGGTCATCATATAATCATGCACATATAATATTCCAATTGTTCCTTTTTTTAAAATCTGTTCGTACCAAAGCAAGAATATTTTTGTTAGCCCCCTTGATCGTGTACTGTACTGTGTACCCCTTATGAGAAAGGCTTATTTGTTTCTGTCTGAAAATTCGGATTTGGGGAGCCATGACTTTGGGGGAGTATGTGCCTGTACTCGAGTTTTCTTGAGTAATTGGGTATTTAATCTCTTCAATTACACGCTCGGAGGATTTTCAAATACTTTAGTACTTGCTCTAGTTCAAAACATTCGAGTACTCGGGTAATTACTCGAAAACATACTTTGAACATCCAGCCAGCAGCCAGGGGCTTTTTGTAAAAGCAAAGACTTTGCAATGCCAATCGTTTTCTTTGTTTCTGCGTCGTGTTCTTTTTCTTTTTCACATTTTTCATTGTGGACAATTCAAATCATCTGAATAATTTTTCTACTTTTGTTTGTTGTTTTTACCATAAATAAATATTTCTTTCGAAGCTTTTTGTTATACTATTTTATTAATTAATTACATCAGCAACCACACTGGGCCTGTGCCCGCCCATGATTCGAGTACTCGAGTTTTCGAGTACTATATGTAT